GCTAAATATTAGTTTTTCCAATGTAAAAAAGATTTTCCTGATCAAAATAAGACCAAACACGGCATAATTTGAACAACATTTGTTTATGTAGTAATATTGTTTGTTTTTTCGAGTGTATGGAGGCGCGATTTTGTATGGAACCAAAAGACTATTACTCGTCAGACTTCTCTAAAAATTTAATTTTAAACAGCCTCACTCGTTCGCTCTCTGTCCTTTCCTACGTTTAGCGGTCGACGCGAGCCAAATGTAAACAAGGAATCGACACCTCGACTCGATAACTGCAACGCTTGGGTCCCGATTTTGTTGCAGTTATCCAGTCTTTACTGTATATGTTTTTGGTTGTGTTTCATTTTGACATTCTACTTCAACAAATGCCGGCTTTAAACGTTCTGTGGAAAAAACTATCGGATTTCCTTTATAATCTATTAAATAAGTAATATCCGTAACACGCTGTAGTATTTTAAATGGTCCTTCGTATGGTTGTTCCAGAGGTCTCTTTACCGCATCTACTCTAACAAAAACGTGTGTGCAATTATGTAACGCTTTGGGTACAAAATGTGTCTGTCTGTTGTGATGTGCCATCTGTCTTGGTCGAATCTGTCGCATCTGCTCTTTAAATTTATCTAAATAAAAATTGTCTGTGTCCTGTGTATCGATGAAAAATTCTCCCGGCAACCTGAGAGGAACCCCGTACAACAACTCTGCTGCAGTAGCTCCAATATCTTCTTTGAAGCTGCTCCTTAATCCGAGTAATACAGTAGGGAGGATCTCGACCCAGTTACTCTTCGCGTGGCACATAATTGCAGTTTTCAGGGAACGGTGCCATCTTTCCACCATGCCATTTGAGGCCGGATGGTATGCCGTTGTGTGAATATGCCTGTACCCTATCAACTTTGTAAGTTCCCTGAAAACAGCTCCTTCGAATTGGGATCCTTTATCTGTGATTATTGTAGCTGGAGCTCCGAACCTACTAATCCACGCAGCACAAAATGCCTTAGCAACTGTACTTGCTACCATGTCTCTAATGGGAACCGCCTCAGGCCACCTGGAGAACCTGTCAATCATTGTCAGGCAATATCTATACCTGTCTACTGGCGGTAAAGGACCTACTATATCTACATGGACATGTTGAAAACGTTCGCTTGGAACAACTATACGTTGTGGAATGTTTCTGACATGCCTTGAGACCTTACTCCGTTGGCAGGGAAGACAGGTTCTGGCCCAATTCAAAATGTCCTTGTTCATACCTGGCCAAACAAACCTGTTATTAATGAGCTTTTTTGTTGCCCTGCCACTCGGATGAGAAACATTGTGAGCATTGTTAAATATCTGCATCCGCAACGCTGCTGGCACATAAGGTCTAATATTATTATGTGAAATGTCACAGTACACAGTCTCGTCTGTATTGTCTAGTCTTAACTGTTTCAATTCTAATGATGAATTGCCCTGTATTAACTGTGTCAGTTCTGTGTCTGTTTTCTGATACTCGGCTAGCTGCTGGGTGCTTACCACGACTGGCAGACTGATCACGTCCAGCCGTGACAAAGCATCAGCCACCTCGTTAGCGGATCCTGGAATATGGGTTATATTCGTTGTAGTCAAGTTGTCGTAACTGTCTCGGTGAAGCTTTATCGGATTTTTGCAGGAAAGCGTAAGTCAGAGGTTTGTGGTCCGTCTGTATCGTAAAGTGACGTCCTTCAATGTAGTGTTTAAAATGTTTAATAGCTTTAAAAATAGCAGTGAGCTCTCTGTCATATGTACTATATCGCTATTCCTGTGGTGTAAACTTTTTGGAGTAAAAACCGAGAGGTTCCCATATTCCATTCACCTTTTGTTGTAAAACTGCTCCGCTAGCCGAGTCAGAAGCGTCCGTCTGTAACAGTAATGGTGCGTTAATTTTCGGGTGTGCCAACAACGTTGCGTTCGCCAATGAGCTTTTGCATTCCTCGAAAGCCTTCTCTGTTTCCGAGGTCCATACGATAGGTTTTTTATCATGTTTCTTTGCACCCTCTAAATATTTATTTAGAGGGGCCTGTTTGTTAGCGGCATTCTTAATAAACCGTCTATAAAAATTGAGCATGCCAAGAAATCGGCGCAAATCCGCGACAGTGTTCGGCTTAGTATAATTCACAATGCTCTCCACTTTCTCTGGTACCGGACTGGCTCCCTTAGAGTTAATCAGGTACCCCAAGTACCGCACCGAAGGAGATCCAAAAAGACATTTATTAATATTTATGGAAATGCCGTATTGTTTCAACCTATCGAACACTTGCTTTAAATGTTCTTTGTGCTCCAGCTCATTGGCGGAAGCTATTAATACATCATCAATGTAACAAAATACAAAATCTAAACCTCGGAGTACGACGTCCATGAATCTCTGGAAGGTTTGAGCAGCGTTTTTTAGGCCAAACGTCATTACGTTATACTCGAAAAGGCCAAATGGAGTGATAATGGCAGTTTTTTCCCGGTCTTCTGGCGCTACCTGTATTTGGTGGTAGGCTTTCTCAAGGTCCAAAGTTGTAAAAATTGTTGTCCCGTCCAGTCTATGTGCAAAGTCTTGAATATGAGGAATAGGATACTTGTCGGGAATGGTAAGACTGTTAAGTTTCCTGTAATCACCACATAACCTCCAATCACCATTTTTCTTGGGCACCATGTGCAGAGGGCTAGCCCAAGGGCTACTAGACGGCCTACAAATCCCTTGAGCCAGAAGGTGGTTAATCTCCTTCTGTGCTGCTCTCAACTTCTCCGGAGCAAGTCTGCGAGCTCGCTCTGCGCATGGTGGCCCACTGGTGACGATGTGGTGTTGAATTTTATGAGTCGGTACGTCTTGTCGCTGTAACGGTCGAGTGATTTCTATATATTGTTTTAGAAGGTTTTGGTACGGATTAGTATTACAAAGTGTAGTCAGTGACGGCTGGAAAACTGTACTTATCTGTCCTATCGTATGTAAATTCGTCAGTCCGTCAATCAGTTTCTTATTACGTACGTCAACCAAAAGACCGTACCTTTTTAGAAAATCCGCTCCTAAAATTGGCTGCTGTACCTTACCAACAATAAATTCCCAGAGAAATGGACGCCGCAATCCCAGATTCAGTGTCAGCTTTGACGTTCCATAGGTCTCAATAGCCGTGCCGTTTGCCGCATACAATCTAAAATCGCTAGGGACGGGGTCTCTTATCCGATCTAAGCGGCAACACGGAGATGTCCGCCCCTGTGTCGACTAAAAAATTTAAATTTGTATTAATGTCTTTAATCACTAAACGGCAGTTTTCTGCGCGGCCCTCCGACGCCGTCTGAATTCGGGGCTGCGCTGCTAGTTTTCCTGGGTTGGTTTCGTGTTGGAGCCATTACCGCTGTGCCCAGGAAGTGGCCCCGTCCAGGAGCATGGCTGCACGCATTTGTGTGACCTTTCCGCAAAACGATGGTGGTAGTAGCACAATCCACCTCTATCTTCCCTGGACAGGGAGCGTCGGCGGTATCCATTATCCCTTGAATTCGACCGCCATCGCCATGTTGGCTTCCTTCGAAATGTTGGCCCTGCGATGCCGCTGCTACGTGGCAAGAATGCATCTCCAGAATTTTATCCGCCTGGAGCGCCAGATTTGCCAGGTCCCGGGTCTCGCTGATTACTAAGATGCTCCTTACATTTTCCGGGAGCTGCCCTAAGAAAAGTGAGCGTAAAACGGTTTCGTTAATTTGATCTCCGGCCAGGTTTCTCAATTTTTGGAGATAATGGGATGATTTATCGTCCCCCATATTGCGTGATCGTAATACCCGGCGCAACTTCGACTCCGGGGATTCATCAAAGGCCCCAATTAATTTTTCTTTGATCGCCTCGTATTTTCCTCGAGCCGGAGGCGAGGTCAGAACATCAGCCACAAAAGGCAGAACTGATTGGTCCAGTTGCGTTATAACGTGCCGATACTTTGTATCATCGCTCGTTATTCTTGCCAGGTCGAATAACGCCTCAACTTGAATGAACCAAACGCCTGGGTTCTCTCGCCAAAATGGCGGCAACTTCTTGAGCGTCGCTGACGCAATGGCTGCCTCGTTTGAGGCGTCTTGCAGGGGCTGATGCGCCCCCTCTAAGTCCGCCATATTGGCGCTTTCTCTCGAAGGCGAGTGCGTTAGCGGCATTTTTTTCAGCAAACCTCGATTGAAATTACGATAAATAACTGTTTTTTTACTTCCCTTTTCGATTTTGATCACGTCAGGGTCACCAATTGTAGAGTTCTGCTTCAGCCGAGCACGCGTCGTGTACAGAGGTGTCGAATAAAAAGTCTCTGGATAATCATAAAACAGTCTAATTTATTCTCTCCCACTGAGCAAGTACGTCACATTTTTGTAGAGTTCTGCTTCAGTAAATAGGAAACTCTACTTTACCGACGTGAGAAAAGGGGTAAATAAGTCCACTGAATTCAAACTGGATAACTATATTTAACAGTTATATTTAACAACAACTAATTACAACAAAAACTGTGCGGGTTAAATAGTTCGTATATGTATTCCGCGCACTTCTATGAAAATCGCAAGGTTTACGTAAAACTCAGTAATTAGAAAACACGTCACGTCGCCTGAGCGTTTCACGAGAGAATGTGACTACGTAAGGAAATGCACTCTCCGCTGCGCTTTTACGCCGGAAGTAGATGTCGCCACATAAATGTAGCATGTGGCGTCATCTTGCAGTGCGAGCAATGCAGTGGCGTCATCTTGCAGTGCGACGTCATCTTGCAGTGCGAGCAATGCATTTCGTTAGAAATGCATAAAAAAAATAATTGAAAAATGCACTTCCTTCTTCTTGTTCGTGAAATGAAAACGCGCGCGGCATGTAAATTGGTGTATGAGAAAGTTATCCTGGCATTATTAATTAATCTTGAAGTTAATATGTGTATTCTTTGTGTTTAACATGAAATAATTAATTTGTAATTGGAAGTGTGTTATTAGTTTTTGTAATAATAATATTAAAATAATGTAATAATATTAAAATAAATTCAAAGTGTTTTTAAATAATTGTTATTTACAAGATATAAAACATCTGCAATTAATAGTATACATGTACAATAATATTTAATACATGTAATAGAGATCCTAATCACGTACAATATTAATTACGTATTATGAAAATAAAAATCGAAATAGTGAGGCAGGTTATGACTGTTCATGTGTTGTGTACAAATGCAATTCCCCTTCCAATGAGACGTTTCTTCGGAGTAAAGAATGAGTGTGTCATCAGGATGAATTGTATCGTCGACGACAGTTCTGTATCGGCTATTGCTACGAAAGAATAAAATAAAGAAGTATAATATCTTAAACGTGCTCACTTCGCAATAATCGATAGAAAAGTGAATGAAGAGCAAGGTGTAACCGAGTGTCATATATGATTTTCGAACTTTGTCGTAGATTGGCGCTCCATCAAGATTGCTCTTTACTTTTTACTATTATTTTTATGGTATCACTTCGTTAACTTATTAGTGTGTTAATTTCCGCACACCCTTCGATGTAATCGCAAATCTCATTCCCCACTTCAACGGTAAGCCGTCCCTGGTAAACCATTTCATTACTCAGTGCCGACTAGCCGATTCTTTAGTCAAGGCTGGTGATAAAAATTACCTGCTAGCCATTATTCGCAACCGCATGGACCCCCGCGTTAGTAGCGTGATAATCGGTAGTAGCCAACCCAAAACCGTAGAGGAGGTTATCGAATCATTAAAATCCACGTACAGCCATAGATTTGACATAGACAATGTACAGGATGAATTCAAAGCCCTGCAGCGAAATGAACATGAGACGGTTGACGAATTTGGAGTTAGGGTGCGATACATTTTAGAAAACGGGTTACTGGCAGTTCAGGAAATATACGAACCGCAGGTATTTGAGGGAGTACGATCAATTTTAACAGGAACCGCGATACAGGGTTTTTTGAGGGGATTAAAGAATGACGTCATTACGGGCATTATTTCTAAGGACGACGTACGGGATTTAAAGACCGTTATTCAGATAGCTTCTAGGATAGATGCGCAAATGAAACCCGCGACAACTTCGAGGAACGCGTATGATTATGGTGACCGTCCGAAAATTTTAGCTGTGCGAACGGATGAGCGCAAATGTTTCGGTTGCGGAAAACCTGGTCACATTCGTGCTAATTGTTTTGCGCGAGGGGACCGTCGACCCCGTGAATTAAACCATGATACAGCTAGACATCGGAATTATGAAGGGAGGAGTCATCCATACGAGCCGCGTCGGGGAGGAAATAACGGTAAAAATTGGGAGAAACCGAAACCCTTGATTACCTCGACCGTTGACATTCGAGGGGATTTAAACTCAAAGGGGGCTCCGACGACGGGCGCGACACGAAGATCACCCCTAATTTCCCGCGCCGGATCCATCGCGTCTGCCGCGAAACCAATTTAGATTATAAAACACACTCTCCGGTAATTTCGCTAGTACACGAACACTTTCGGAATGGATCAGCTGGGCTCCTAGTGGATACGGGGTCTCCATTAAATTTAATTAAACAAAAAGAATTAAAATCCGATTTACCCGTTAATGTAGATAAGATTTATCATCTCACCGGTATTGGCACAGGAACAGTTAAAACTTCAGGGGAAGTCGTCGTTCTTTTGTAAAACATTCCAGTCCATTTTCAAGTGGTTGATGATGACTTTCCAATTAATGAGGCCGGAATTTTAGGAGTTTCATTCCTGCAGGAACAACGAGCTACGCTCAAATTTGCAGAGAATTTCCCATGTATTATGGAAATTAATACGGAAAACGCACTTACCTCCTCCTTTTTGTCATATGATTTGCCTCTGCGAACCAAAGTTTTAATCTCGGTCCCAACGAAAAGTAATAATCTCACTGGCTATGTCCGACGGATTATTGATGCAGGTCCTGGCATTTTCATAGAGGAAGTCCTAGCCACCCAACAAAACGGTCTAGTTAAATTATTTGCCATAAATTCTACATTTGATCATGTGATCCTTAGTATACCCCAAATCGAACTTGAGGAATTTGACTCACAACCCCCCGCATTCCGTTCTTCACGGACAGGAAATCCGGTTTCAGACAAATCAGCTGATCGAGCCCAGAGACTGAGCGAATTGCTTAAATTAATAGATTTGAGTCACCTCCAAGAACAGGAAAAGATAAGCATCTTGGAAATCATAAATCAGTTCCCGTATCAGTTTCATCTCCCTACGGATAGGTTAAAAGCGGCTGATGTTCCCCAACACACAATTAACACCACAAATAACATACCAATAAACACAAAGCAATACAGATTTCCCCTGGTCCATAAGGAAGAGATAAAGAAACAAGTTGATACGCTTCTCCGCGACGACATTATTCAGCCATCTGCATCACCTTACAATTCACCTCTTTGGGTAGTGCCCAAAAAACCTGATTCTTCCGGAAGGCCGAGGTGGAGAATGGTTATTGACTATCGGAAATTGAACGAAATGACAGTATCAGATGCATACCCTCTCCCGAATATTACTGAAATATTAGACCAGTTAGGAGGTGCCAAATACTTTAGCACCTTGGATCTCGCCTCAGGTTTTCACCAGATCCCCATGGACCCAACATCTAAATCCAAGACTTCCCTACTCCCCATGGGCATTATGAATTTAATCGAATGCCATTTGGTCTTAAAAATGCTCCGGCAACTTTTCAAAGAGTTATGGACGTTGTACTATCGGGTCTTCAGGGTGCTGAGCTCCTCGTCTATATGGATGACATTGTTGTTTATGCTGTTTCCCTCAAAGAACATGCGCGAAAACTAAAATCTCTTCTAGCCCGGTTGCAAGGTGCTGGATTAACTCTTCAACCTGAGAAATGTCGCTTTTTGCAGAAGGAAATCGCTTATTTAGGTCACGTAATTACCAGCGAGGGCGTAAAACCTGATCCAGGGAAAATCAAAGCAGTAAGAAACTTCCCCATTCCCAAAGACAAGAAAAATATTAAGCAATTCCTAGGACTCGTAGGTTATTATCATAGGTTTATTCCCAACATGGCTAAGATTGCCAAACCCTTAACCCAGCTCTTAAAGCAAAACGTACCCTTCTTTTGGACCCCGAACGTTCAACACGCATTTGAAACTTTAAGAGACATCGTGTGCACTGAACCCTTGTTACAGTTCCCTAATTTTTCACAGCCTTTTATTGTTACCACTGATGCCTCAGATTACGCTGTAGGTGCTATCCTAAGTCAGGGAACCATCGGTACAGATCTCCCAATTGCATATGCTTCGAAGGCTTTAAACCCTGCAGAAATAAATTATTCAACGATTGAGAAGGAACTCTTAGCTGTCCTATACGATGTACAACATTTTCGACCTTACCTGTATGGCCGACAGTTTACATTGGTTACTGACCACAGGCCCCTAGTATGGTTGCACAGTATCAAAGATCCCACATCCAAACTGCTTAGGTGGCGTATTAAATTGAACAAATATGATTACAATGTAGTAATAAACCAGGGAGAGTAAACGCTAATGCCAATGCTCTTTCGCGGAATCCCGTTGACCCCGCTGAAAATCCTATTCCTTATCTACGACCTGTACAGCGTACCATAAAACCCAATCACAACCCGGAACATCTAGAGGAGGTGCTCACCTGCATGGTTGAGACTCCTATTGCAAACCCTGAGACGGACGAAAAGAATGAGACATTATGCTTTAGGAATGAAGTAATGGTGGCTTCTGCATTCCTGGCGCGCGGGAAAGCAGAAACCGAATTAATTGATGTTGTTCAAGGATTTTCCGACTCAGATACCTGTGTGTCTGAGGCGCAATCAAGGTCGCCACGAATGAATAGTGATCCCATGGAGTGTATGGTTCCGCCGTCACACCAAACAGGGGATTCGGGTGAGTGTGCGATGCCGGCGTCACCCCGTCCTGCGTTGTTGGGTGAACTGCCGATGAGACCACTGCGAACAGGAGATTCGAGTGGACACGTGAAACTACCACCTCGGACGGTAAAGTCAGGTGGGCACGTGGAAGAGTTGAGTTGTATTGAGAGTGTGAATGTTGTGGCTGGCGATCTGATTTGTGCAAGGAAACCTTGTAGAGGAATAACCCTGACAGAGGACTTTTCACGGAGCCAAGGCCACCTGGAAGCAGCGGATTGCAGTTGGACCTGACCGGAGTACCTGTCGCTGAGCTGAGGACCATCGAGTTACCCTGACAGAAATACCTGTAGAGAAAAGAGTAACAATAGATGTTAACAGTGATGGAATTAACGAGACCAGACTTTTGATTAATAGTGTAGATGAAACAACAGACGGACATATAGTACCTTTCCCTGCTCCACCCGCTGTAGTTTGTGTAGATGAGAATCTTTTCGTGCGACGAGATAATCTCGCCCATTTTATCCCATTAACCGGTGACGATAATTCCCAAACCACCAAAGGCTTGCTAAGCAGAATCGAATGTTCCCCCGAACAGATCCAACAGTACCAAATTGAAGTCAGTAACGCCATGGCCTTTCCTCATGATAGATACTCTGTCTTCCTCTTATTTTACAAGAGTGAATCCCAAAGCGAATTTGATCTTGGACACGTCGAATCTTCATTGAAGTCCCTCAAATCCCTTCTTGCCACCTTGAATTCAGAAACTTTTAGTCTCTTATTAGACCCGGATAGATTCAATGGCTTCGAGCGAAATAGCGTAATAAACCTACTGAAACAAACCTTTGCTGATCCTAAATATAGAATCACCGTGTGCACCGAAGAAGTTATTATCCCACCTGAGTCGAGTCGTCTTCGTATTATCCAAGAATACCATGAATCTGTGGTTGGAGGCCACAGAGGTATCTTTAAATTACTCCAGCTCCTCCGGCAACGATTTTATTGGCTAGGCATGGCAAAAGAAATCATGGAATTTGTCCGATCCTGTTCAACCTGCCAAAGAAATAAAAATTATTGTGCAAAAACCTGACAACCTATGCAAATCGCTGATACACCACAAAGAGCCTTTGAGAAGGTGCAGATGGATATTGTAGGACCCTTACCCAGAACTTCCAAAGGAAATCAATATCTGCTTACTATACAGGACAACCTTACGAAATATTCAGATGCAATTCCCATAAAATCCATGGATGCAGTAACGATTGCCCTTGCACTTGCTGAGCAATTTATCAGTAGATTTGGTTGCCCGAGAGTCATACACACAGATCAGGGAAGAAACTTTGTTAGTCGAATAATGAAACACTTCTGTAAAATCTTCAAAATCCAAACTATAACTTCCACAGCGTTTCATCCCCAATCATTAGGTTCGCTCGAAAGGGCACACCGCAGTCTTATTAATTACCTAAAGATATATTGCATGAAAACAGACTGGGATGACTGGGTGAGGTTCTGCATCTTTTCGTATAACACCTCAGTGCATGAAGCCACTGGGTTCTCTCCACACGAATTAGTCTTTGGCACCAAGGCCAACATACCCTCGGAATTTGCCACGAGACCAGCATCTCGAACATTCGTACAATATTTTGATGATCTTCTCGCCAGAATCACCACCACACAGACCATCGCTGCACAAAATCTGGAAAAAGCAAAACAGAGAAGCAAAGCTTATTATGACCAAACGCTTAATCCGCGCACGTTCGAAATAAACGATCTTGTATATCTACTCAAAGAACCTCGAACCTCAAAATTTGACTGTGATTGGCTTGGTCCTTACAAAATAAATCGGAAGTTTGATGATTTAACTATGGAATTAGAAATAGGGAAAAATAAATTTAAGATTGTTCATGCAAACAAACTCAAATTAGCGCATATTAGACCAGAGGTTATCACTGACGGAAATTCAGATTAAATTAATAAAGTTTGCTACTCCGTTCATATCTTTGTACACATGTGCTCATATTGTATTCGCGTAATTGAAATACTGCTAAATATAGTCTAGACTCTAGACTCTGTCACTATGTACACGGATCTGCTTAAACTAGTATGGTTATGTTCGTTGCAACTTGTATGATAATTGGAGACTGTTAAGCATCTCGTTGCTCGTATTTGTGACACGTATGTAATAAGATACCTTGGATGTTAAATAGACTTAACTGTTTGCTCACCTTTTGTATGAACCTTGTATGAGAAAAGCACCACATAATGTTAATATTGTATATGCAACTACTATTAAGGCGTATGGATATAGAAAAGTCCCAAGAGTAATACACACAGATCAGGGAAGAAACTTCGTTAGTCGTATAATGAAACACTTCTGTAAAATCTTCAAAATCCAAACTATAACTTCCACAGCGTTTCATCCCCAATCATTAGGTTCGCTCGAAAGGGCACATCGCAGTCTTATTAATTACCTAAAGATATATTGCACGAAAACAGACTGGGATGACTGGGTGAGGTTCTGCATCTTTTCGTATAACACCTCAGTGCATGAAGCCACTGGGTTCTCTCCACACGAATTAGTCTTTGGCACCAAGGCCAACATACCCTCGGAATTTGCCACGAGACCAGCATCTCGAACATTCGTACAATATTTTGATGATCTTCTCGCCAGAATCACCACCACACAGACCATCGCTGCACAAAATCTGGAAAAAGCAAAACAGAGAAGCAAAGCTTATTATGACCAAACGCTTAATCCGCGCACGTTCGAAATAAACGATCTTGTATATCTACTCAAAGAACCTCGAACCTCAAAATTTGACTGTGATTGGCTTGGTCCTTACAAAATAAATCGGAAGTTTGATGATTTAACTATGGAATTAGAAATAGGGAAAAATAAATTTAAGATTGTTCATGCAAACAAACTCAAATTAGCGCATATTAGACCAGAGGTTATCACTGACGGAAATTCAGATTAAATTAATAAAGTTTGCTACTCCGTTCATATCTTTGTACACATGTGCTCATATTGTATTCGCGTAATTGAAATACTGCTAAATATAGTCTAGACTCTAGACTCTGTCACTATGTACACGGATCTGCTTAAACTAGTATGGTTATGTTCGTTGCAACTTGTATGATAATTGGAGACTGTTAAGCATCTCGTTGCTCGTATTTGTGACACGTATGTAATAAGATACCTTGGATGTTAAATAGACTTAACTGTTTGCTCACCTTTTGTATGAACCTTGTATGAGAAAAGCACCACATAATGTTAATATTGTATATGCAACTACTATTAAGGCGTATGGATATAGAAAAGTTGTTTTATGAAAACACCTTTTTAAATAAGGGGGGAGGTGTAACGCGAGCGTAAGTACTTGTTATCATCCTGAATATAGTCATTGTAGTATGGCAACACGACCGTGAGGATATTTACAGAGCGCGTCTGTACTTTGTTATATCGATGACCATAAATTAAGAGCGAAATTTAAACTATCTGAGCGTGCGATCATGTACAATAGACAAAGCTTATATTGTTAAAGCCACTCGACGTGGGTGTTCATGCTTGGGAAAGTTTGGGAATCCAGAGAATAAACGTAGCTTCACTTTGAATGTTTGTAGAGATTAATTTATTAGGGACCGTATCGAATATGTTGTTTTCGACTAAGTCGCGTACAGTTCTTGAAGGTTTCAAGATCTCTCACGAATATCCTGTCTTTTCATGCACTCGAAGAGGGTCGTAAATTTTCGCCTAATACAAGGACTTTGTTTTCGCGTTCTCTGGGTCTCACGCTTTCTCTACGCACATGTTCAATGTTACGTTCCCGCGTCTTGGCGGAGCCTCCACCACCACGCGGCTGAGGGTGGACCACAGCCAGGAGAAGGGGCCCACATCGGACGGGGGTGGACTCCTCCACCATTGGACAAGGGATGATCCTGAGGGAGGATCCAGGATCCAGCGAGGAAGGGGCATCGATCCGCATCACCCGAAGATCTCCTCCGCCAAGCGCAGAACGATCAGACTAATTTTGTATTCCTTACGCACCAGTTCGCTTTATAAAAAGTACTTTGATAATTTTCTAAATAAATAGTTGGACTTAGTCCGAATCATTTCTACACACCGCGAGCCAAAATCCCTAGACCGCGGACGGCAAACGCAACAGTTCATACAGAATTAAGTTGGCAACGAATGACAGCACACAACAATGTCGGGCGGTAGGGATTGTTTCCTCTCGGCCACCATTTTCTCTAGGGAAACCAGATTTATTCTTGGGTCTAAAAATTCATTGCTACAAAAGGAAAATATTGGTAAAAAGTAACAATGCGCAATATTGAAATAAAAGCAAAAATTACCAATCTGTCATATACAGTTTCCCGAATTAAGCAGTTAACTGATACTTATTGTACTGTTATAAAGCAACATGATACATTCTTCAAAGTAGCTGAAGGAAGATTAAAATTACGAAGATTTGAAGTAAAAAATACATTACACATCTATTTTTTTCCAATTTATGCTTTACATCGTTTATAAATTTGTATAATGAAATACTTCAATTTCAAATTAATGGTATCTAGTATAAACATAAATTTTATAAATCTATAAAGTTTAAATTCTTTTAGGAACTATTCTATGTATTATATATATTTATCCATTTTTATAACAAAAAATTTTAGACATTTTTGACGGTATAGGTATTTAACAAAAATCATGTATGTCAGTAGTATTTTCTATACCCTGCAATATAATAGGAAATTATTTTTGTTTAGAATGGTTCAGGAGAGTTAATTTATTATAAAAGATCTAATATATTGGGCCCAAAACTTTGTAATTATGAAAAAGCAGCATTAGAAGCTAATGCTTGTGTCGAAATTAAAAATATTTTGAGTGCATCAAATGGCTGCATAGGTACTGTGGAAAAAACAAGGCAATTGTACATGGTTGGACAGACTCGTATACATGTTGATGACGTTGAAGGCTTAGGAAACTTTTTAGAATTAGAGGTATGTAAATGATAGATAAACTATAAATGTTTATGAATTTATACCATATTGGAGTCATTAAACAACGTGTAAATTAAGAATGTGATAATTATAAATAAGAAACTTTAACATTGGTTTCTAACAATGAAGGATATTCCACAAAATTCAAATTTGATTCATACATATGCATCATTTAAAAAAAAGATTATTTTTAAAATATCCCTTTTAGTAGAACTAAATTCAAATAAAAAGTTTTAAAATATGCACCATTCTAAATGTGTTAAGTCATGGTAAATAACAATAGTAGTAAAAATAGAATTGTGCTTGTTTCTTAACCCATTCGAGACAACGATTTTTTTCGAACATGGTCCCCAGGAGTGAAATTTTTTTTTCTTTGTATTTTACATGTAAGAAAGGCTTCAGATAATTTTTAGATTTTTTGGTACACAGTAAAACCAATGCCAAATTTTGTTTTCCTGTACTTTACAGATTTCATTAGTTCCAGAAAAATCTTATTTCGATGACTAGTTTACTCAGAATAACTGATAATTGCACAGTACTGTTATTGCATACACGGTGTGCAATCAGTCTCGAATGGGTTAACCTGTGTTATTTTAAAATTGCACAAAAGAAGAATTAGGTATGTTTGCACAATAAACATCTGTAGTTTTAAAATAATATGTTATTGATAATAATAAAGAGTTTCAATTTTTGCTCTATCTGCAAAGAATACAAATATGCGAGTGAACATGTTACTTCTTCAAAAATGATGCATTATTATTGTTTAGGTAGTTCTGACCAAAGAAGACGATGAATATAAGGGTGAAAAAATTGCACAAGATTTAATGAATAAGTTGGGTGTAAAAATTCAAGATTTGATATCAGAAGCCTACATAGATTTACTTAGTAAAACCACAGTGTAATTACAATAAAATGTGTATATTTTCATATATTTTTATTATAACTTTTTATAACTTTATCCCAAAACTACAAAAACAATAAACAGTTATTAAAACTACTTTATCAGCTGTTTATATGTATGAAATAATTCATATCTTCTTATTCTTGCATTTGTTACAATAACATGTATCAGACAGTTACAATTAGACCATGGATACTTTGTATATTCTGAATATTTTAAATAACTAATTTCATTATTTTTTTATATGTACCATCTAATTCACGTATTTTTTATATGCTCTAATATTCTACATAAATACACAAACATATGCAGTTGTAGTATTTATATAATTTGAATTGAATAATTGAAAAAATATGTAATTATTTTCTTCAAATGCACTGTTTATGCGCCAGTGAAATGTTAAACAAATAATTCAAAGTGCACTGTATTAAAAAATTAAATGAAATTCGACGCAGGAACCGCACAAAAATATACGTGTTTAGAACAATATGAATGATAATACAAGTAACAATATAATATACGAAAGTATGCTCATTAGTGTTTGAAGATTATTGGAGGTCGCCTGGAGAAATGTCTGTCGTTCGTACGTATGACTTTGAAAATGTAATCTTTTAGCGAAAAAAGCTTTTTAAACATTGCTTGAAGGAATACTAACAGGGATGAATTTTCTGACCAGTTAAACTCTTATTTTGGTGATTGGTAAGGAAGCGTCTGTCTTTTGTGCCATTCGTTAAATAAATAAATACTTACATATGGTCACATTTAGACTATACAAATGTCCGCGAAACTTTCATTCCTGATCGTGACTCAAACATCTCATGATCCTTCTTTATTGGTTAAGAATTTTAAATTTATGAATACTAATGTTGAAAATGTTAATTCAACAAACAAAAACAATATCTTTTTGAGATGTTCGTATAGAATTTCTTGGAACTGCTTAAACAATTTGTATTTTTGAATATTTTGACGCTGTTTTATAGTGCATCGCAATAAGTTGAAAGTATGACGACCTATCCCTGCGCCGCTCATGTAGGTTTTTGATATTGAATGTATTTCACAACATACAAGTGCAAATACATAGTATAAATATAATATTACAATTTTGTTATGTGTAAAATGTTTCGTTATAGCAACGCATAATTGATTGAATAGTATATACGATATGTACATTTCATTCTAGATCAAAAGAACAGAGAAAAAAGGAATGATAAAGAAACAACCAGCGAGTAACGAAAAACCAATGATATTTTACTATCATAACCAGGATATGTTCTAATGATAAAACTTCCCACGCTTCCCTTCCTTCCTTTTTGATGATCATATTTGCTTCTTACGTTTCGTGTGCACGAGTTTCAATTCTTTATTGCCTTTATTGTTACTAATACTGCGCTTTTTTCACCGATAGCTTAAAGATGAGAAACATTTAATAATAGCGTTGTTTTAAAATGCAGTTTTTGTTTTTCTACTGTATTTTTGAAGTATTTAAAAATTAAGTTTCTCAAACTTAGATCAAAAACTTTCAATTAATAATAACTTAGTAAAATCTTTTACTAAAAGTGGTTAATCAGAATTATTCAAACCTTATGTTCTTTAAAAATACTTTTAGAGCATTTCTAATATACCAATATAGAATGATTTCAATGTTCTGTTACTATATTATCAGGAATATGATTCCACAACAACTTTTTCCTTGCGGATAATCAGCGAAAAAGCTTTAGTTTCTAGAATACCTGTGAAAAACTATTGTTGCTACTACACTGAACTCTGCATTTATATACTTTCGTTGTCTATGATAGTGTATGCTTTAGCACTCAGCACGCATTTGTCGCTATTCTACTGTTTTTACAATATCGCTATAGTCGAATGTATAACGGGTGACCTTAAAAATTAAATTTGATTTCGATAATTTTGAACATTGGCCTGGGATAATGATCTATTTAACCTAACCTAAACTGAATTTAATGCGTTCTGCCACAAATTAATTAAGCCAATATTTAAAATCGTTGAAATCAATTGTTTCATTTTTAATTTCACTCGCAATGCAATTAATTTTTGGCGATACGTTTATAAAAACAGTAGAAAAGTAACTATTACACTAAAGTGCATACACCACCAAATACACATAAGCATACGACGAAATTAATGTAGAAGTAGTAATTGTTTCTCACGAATATCTCCGAAACTAAAATTGTCTGTCAATTGTATGTAAGACGAAAGTTGTTTAGAATCACGGTTCTGTAACATGTTTGAGGAGCTTTAACTAAGTTTCCATCGAAGGTTTAAATCGGATCAGAGTCGGGTTAGAGTCGGGTTTGAGTCGCGGGTTGGAGTTGCGGCAGGGTTGAACATTACCAACTGCACAAAGTCAACTACCATATTCTGACATGTAAAGGAGAGCAATATTAATTTTACAATATCAAAATAACATACAAAAATTATTTCTCAGATTACAAGATCACCGACAAAAAGTAATAATAACCTCTTCTACACCAATTAATACAACACGTGATACATAATGCAATTTGGATTTGTTATGTTGGCAACACGAACTCGACTCTTGTCAAGTTCGCGCTCACCTCAACCCGACTCTAACCCGACTCTGACCCGATTTGAACCCTCGATGGAAACGTAGTCTATGATAGATTAGGCATAATATTTGTAAATGTATAGATATTTTGTTTTTGTTACTATTCTCCCCAGAGATGTCAGTTTTGCACTTGAGTATACTTCTTTCCCCTATGTTATTATTTTCCCTAGAAAATCCTGTATTGTTTAGCAGTGCATCTGCATACTATTCATTATTTTATGGTGCTTACAAGGAAATGAAGTACAAGTGCAATTGTTAATTGAACTTTGTATCATTGTAAAATTTATGAAATTATATTAAACTTTATAACTGTATTTATTGATAAAAGATTTTTAAGTTTAACAGTTATTATTATTTTGCAGTGTTTTGGATGCAATGAAATAACCATTGTATATATTACAAATAAGTATTTTGCCACCAAATTTTTCTAAAATAGTTTTATTAATGAAGCTGATTATAAATCTGTGAAATTAAGTAATACCAAACAATGTTTCAATCAAATCCGGAGCCTGATATACCTGCAGCTTTAGGTTTGCTTTCTCACTTGAGTGATACACAATGCAATTTGGATTTGTTATGTTGGCAACACGAACTCGACTCTTGTCAAGTTCGCGCTCACCTCAACCCGACTCTAACCCGACTCTGACCCGATTTGAACCCTCGATGGAAACTTAGTCATTGAAGTCATTCGATGTTGATATGTTAGACTGGTTTTATTTTTTTATTTTTTCAAACAAGGAAGTTAAACTTTGTTTTTGAAAAAGAAGAAATTATTGTACGGCCGTACAAATCAAATAAAAAGAAATGAAAAATTGTACGATACTTCTTAATTACATACGAGTGATTACAATTTTGTTATATTTTTTCAGCATTTGTAAAAATAATATTCAATTATAATTAAAGATTGATGCAATGGCTAGTCCTAACAGTTTGACTCGCTAGCTATCAGTGATACTTGAAGAGAAGCAAAAGAAATTAAGTACAAGTGTTCTGCACGTGTGAATACTAACTGGTTTGGAGTGGAAATGTGAAGTACTTAGCTTTTGACTTTGGTAATGTAACCATTATTTGATTCCGAAAAGATTACTCAATGTAAACACGCGACTAGAATGTAAGAAAATACACTTTATTTAATTACACGTTCAAAATGTATACCGCTCCCATCACGTAATATTCCGGTCTTTTACTTCACATTTCCACTTCTGTAAATCGAGTAATATGTTAATAAAAATATCATGTAATATATGTTTTGAATTCGTCTCGATGTCCTCTAATGATATGAATAAAAAAAATGTATGTTCCTATTTAAAAAACCCAAGGTGACCTTGACTTTGCCAAGAGAACAAACTGTTTTCAAAATTTGCTTTACTAATATCTATTGTGCACTTTATTCCTTACAAATATTGTTCTAAACTTTTTTTCGTAAAGTGGCTGCAAATGGGAGAAAAATCGTGAGTAGCGTTACAGGTAACACCCTGTATACATATGTTCTTCTTAGAGCTTCCCTTGGATATGTATATTCCCCTACTCTTCATTCTGTGAGTTCTACCATTCCCCTTAGCCACCACTAGCACCGTCACTTCGTTCGAAGAGTACTGGCGAGAAAAGGATCTCATTTTACGAACAGCACTGGCTGCTATCAGAAGTTTTTAAACAAAGACTGTGCGAGAAACGCGTCGTCAGGCGTACATAGTGTGGCGTTGCCTCTCGTCCTTTTCTGGGCTTGTGATATAGTTTTTGCTTTTTTTGTGCCATCTGATCTTGTGGGTTGTTTGATTAATCGTTTTTTCAGTGCCAATTTTTCTTTACATCCATTTTTTTAAGCAGAGTCGCGAGCACAGTCTCAAACCAAGATATTTTACAAGAGATACACGCCAAGTTAGGTAAGATATTTCCAGTTATTTCTTCTTTTCATTTTTTCTTTATTTGATGTTTAAGCTCGATACGGAGACGTTTTCGTTTCTTGTATTATTGTAGAATGAAAAATTGTTTAATGTAAATAAAAATTTACGATTTAGATTTGGCGCAATCTTTTTTTCTTTAAGTACCATGAAAACAATAGTACTTTAGGTAAATACATAATATTCGATTAGAGGTACTGCTTAAAGTTTGATTTGGAAATTATGTATTGTATATTATTGTATAAGTCGTAACACAAATATTTTAAATGCATTTTTTCTTTAAAAATATATGAATTTAATGAGTCATTAATATATATGAGTAGAAAATGCTGTGTAAACTCTTCTTACATAAAATATATTTGAGCCATTTAGTATGAAATAACTTGCATTTTTACGTGTTCAATTTTTTTTTTTTAAGTGAAGTAGAATTTAACTTCAAGAAGAACTTGAAGTTAAATGTGTTAAGGTTTCCATGATAAATATAATTTTTTTAAAATCTTATGCTTCCTTGAATTGAAAATACATTATTAATGGATGCAAAATATGTGTTGCAAATTTTAAGATCTTTGATTCATTTTAAATAGCAGGTTGTTTATTTTACATACTTGTTATATTGCCTCCTTAAATATGGAGCATTTATAATATGTTTGTATTTCTATCTAATTCATATAAATATTATATTTATTGAACAGTACACTCATAATTTTTTCATACATTCAAAGTATTAAAAAAGTGTATGGAATTAGTAATGTTGTTTTGCTTTAAAAGAGCTTTAAAGTTTTAATTCGAATCTATTAGGTCATCGTAAATAATTTTTTGAATTGGTAACTTCTATAATTGAAACATTTAATGGGAATAAAATTGCGGTATATAAAGTGTTATGGAAAGAATAATTGCTTACTGCAGATCTTTTATTGATCGATAACTTTAGTGTGCAATAACTAATTTCTTTTCATTTGTTAAATAAATATATACATAAGATCTTAAGTATATCATATTTATGATAGTAAGAGTTCAAGAGATAAAAATTATGAAAGTAAAAAGGTTTACTCAAACCGATTAAACTCTTGGTTAATAAAAAGTCTGCAAGTATATAATTGCTCTAATCTTGGTATAATTGGAAAGGAGTTCCCTTTTGACAAAATAAATCAAAAATATACAATAATGTTTTGTTATATGCAACTCGTATTTTGGAAAAATTGAAATTGAATATGTTCCTTATTATTTTTGAGAAAATTCGATTATAGTAAGAAACGTAATAATTTCAGCAATTTGTTCACTATTATGTGTTATACATGTCTAATACACGTAATTAAACAGCGTTTATGAAATTATTATAAACCTACTGCTAATTAAATTAATAATTTATTAATACTATCTGTGATGTCGCTTATTTTCACGTCTATTTAACATGCCTCAAATTAAATTTATCATGCTATACATTTGTATTTTGACAGTGTCATGCAGAATATTGTCTGGTAATATTTTAACTGTGATTTTATTTATTTTAGTTAATATTTAGTCATATTAATAGTTGATTTATTGAGAAAATTGTTGAACTTTCAATTTTTCTTAAAATAATGACACGTATAAAATGTTTTCATTCCATATGTATTTAGTATTTCAAAAGCAGTTTGCTTTGTGTGTTGAATAGTAATAATTGGGTGACCCTATGTAGCATTGACTCAGTCATTCATTGAAGTTTCACGAAAATTTATTTATCTCGAATACTAGATTGAATTTTAATTTACAAATATTGGTTTATTAATTAATAATTCTTTGAACTCAGAAAATATTATATTTCATAGAATTAAAAAGATTCAACTTGGAATGCATTTAATGATTAATTAAATTTCAACAGGAATGCATTATTTAAGTTAAAATTGAGATATAAATAAAATTTATATTATATTATAGTGATGAATTTAATATGTTTAAAATTTGGTTATATCTAAAACATTTTATTTATGTGTCTTAGCTTATAGTTGTAAAGAAATTTACAGTTTGCTATATCCGTTTTCAGATGAAATATGTTGTTCGTGGTTTAGATTTGGAAACTTGAACAATAGAGAAGGAGAGAAAATGATTCAAATATATTCTTATCAAACAGTGCTTGCAATATTATTATTTGCAACGACTATCATATCAAGTAAGTAATATTTATTATAGTCCTTCATTTTGTGTGTATTTGTTAAAATTAGCAATCTTATTATTTAAAAACACATAGCCAACTATTATTCTAGACTAAATTAAAGTTGTAGCTAATATTATGCGTATTATATATAACAATTTAAACAGAATATTTGTATCTCTATAAGTGTTTTTTTATACCTATAGTATTAGATGTCTCTTTAAGTTATGTAAAATGCTATGAAAAGTTAAAAAATATCTTCTGCAATATGTTTTGCTAACTCTTATTGCTTGTATCATAATATAAAAATTGTATTATAACAAAATTATTATAATTCATCTATTCATAATCAGAACATACTTTTCATTCATTGCTTTTATGAGAATACATTTTATCCACCATGATTAGATAGTGATTTGACCTCTTAACCTGGCTTCCTTCTAAATTCCTCTAGTTTATATCAGTTTGAAAAATTTGAACATCTTAGAAATTTAAGATATCAAAATCAGAAGTTATTTAGCATTATTTATAACATCTTTAACCATTTTCATAACACAATTTCTTATTCAAGTAAATTTTTAATTATTTTGTAGCAGTATTTATTTTTAACTATTCCAAAACGAAGAAATAATGAGTATTTGTAATTTTGAGCAAATTTTTTGTTATCCTAGTACAATTAAAAGATAAATTTTTTAATACTATTAAAAGTAACAAAAAATAGCATAATAAAGAATAAATCTGAGAATTTGCAAAATAAGACAAGGGATTGCAAAACTATTCATTTCAGCCATAACCGCTAATATCGAAATATATCACTATTACCAGTAATACTTGTTATATTCAGTTTTATTTGTTAACGATACATAAACATTATTTTGAAACAGTAACTGTAGTAACAGTATAAGATAACAGCGTTCCTTAGTTACACCTGTATAAGTAGTAAAAGTAAGTTGCAGTAAAAATAAGTTGATAATACCCGGTTATAATTTTTCATAAAAAATTACTGTAATTGCAAAATTTAGTTATAATAATTATTAAGGAGTTAAAATTATTTAATATATAATATTACACAAACAAATAAATGTTTCGTATTTTACATTGTGTTTTTAATATCAATGAATATTTATACATTTAGAGTGTACAGAGTGTCTTAAAAATCATAGAACAAGCGACTAGGCGGAGATTTTATATTAAAGAATAAGTCAAATAAAAAAATAACGTTTTTTTACATTTGGCTTAATTTTTGAAAAATTTAATGTCAAAAATTCTTAAATATATTTGTGATAAAGTTATTTGTAACATGAAAAATGGTAATTTCAAGAATTTTTGCGTTAATTTAATAATTAATGTATGATATAAAAATTAAAAAGTTTAAATATTAAAACCGTTGAAATAAACAATCAGTTATTATTCTCTATGGTATGGTTGATATACTACTATACATATTATACTATTATGAATTCAGTTAAAATAATATTCGTAACAACGCTGATTAATAAAAATTTTATTAATGATTATATTTATTAATTTATTATAATCATTATGACATGTATTAGTTATTGAATTAATAAAATAACAGTAATGAAATCGCCATCATCATTGCCACAAAATATTTTTGTATAACTATTTTGAAGAATTTTGTAATTCAATTTGTTCAAAACCAAAGACAATTACCGAAAGATGTTGCCCTTTTTTCTGACTTACTTTTCATGTAGAATCATCACTCACAAGGGAACATATCCAACCCAGACACGCCAATTTTGATGAAACTTATGTGAGATATAGTTCTCAAAAAAATTATTGACACGTAATTTTTTTTTATCGCCAATCGTGCATATTGAAGGGGTGAAAATAGCCCCCAAAGTTGAGGGCTGAAATCATATTTTTGGGAATATCTCCGGAATTAAAGGAGATAATTGGATGCTTTCTTTTGTAAAATGTTGGTCTTTAAATAGGGAATTTTTGTGCGTAAAAAAATGTCAATAAACTTTATTTGTTTAAATAATATTTTGGAAATTTATAATTTTTGTTTAAATTTTTGAACTAAATGTTGATCTATTTTGTTGCAACTTCGTGTACGTAAACTATGAACAAAAATAGAGGATACGTGTTTTTGGAATTTGTTGTTTGTTGCAACGTTTATTAGATATATAATTTAAAATTACCTCCTGTGAAAAGGGGCAATCGGCATTTTTATTAAAAATATCATTATTTTTACAATCTTTTACTATATTTTAGACATTTTATACCTCTTCATATGCCGTTAATTGATTTCTGAATTATTGTAAGCGTCGCAGATATGAGCGTGACGCGGTTATAATCAACGCCGTAAATAACATACATCCAAAAATTCTAAATATTTTATTTAGATTGAAGACTTTACGTTTGTAAAAGTATAAAAGCAATATTGGCCATAAAAACCTATGTTCGTTGCGACGGTGATTATAACCGCGTCACGCTCATATCTGCGACGCTTACAATAATTCAGAAATCAATTAACGGCATATGAAGAGGTATAAAATGTCTAAAATATAGTAAAAGATTGTAAAAATAATGATATTTTTAATAAAAATGCCGATTGCCCCTTTTCACAGGAGGTAATTTTAAATTATATATCTAATAAACGTTGCAACAAACAACAAATTCCAAAAACACGTATCCTCTATTTTTGTTCATAGTTTACGTACACGAAGTTGCAACAAAATAGATCAACATTTAGTTCAAAAATTTAAACAAAAATTATAAATTTTCAAAATATTATTTAAACAAAAAAAGTTTATTGAAATTTTTTTACGTACAAAAATTCCCTATTTAAAGACCAACATTTTACAAATGTTGCGAAATCTAAACAAATTTTGTTTTGGGTCTTTTTTTTCAATAAGGGACGTAAAGAGTTTAAATAAAAAAAGTGGTCATATTCTTTGAAACTTTTTTTTTAAAATGAGCTCTTCAGAACGATGGAGACTCAAAAACTGACGTCACTACAAGTTAGAATAGCCGTGGAGTACAGTAAATATTCTACAATATATACGCAAATCTTTCGGGTCTGAGGTTTTACGTCTATCGTACAGGTCCTACATTTCGTGCGAAGGAGACTGAACGTAAACAAACAGTGATCTATCGGTAGGACACTCCTAATGCAAGAATAAAACTTTTTTATTTTTGACTTTTTTTTGTCGAAATTTTTTCCATCATATTTGTAACATTTTTCTCATTAAAATGAGACCAAACACGATGTACTTCAGGACATATTTACTTGTAATTCCAAGTGTTACGCGTATGTACATCGATGACTTTACTCCAAGAAGATATTGCAAGTAAATATAACTCAAATTACGCCGTGTTTGGTCTCATTTTAGTCAGAAAAATGTTACAAATATGTTGGTAAAAGTTTCATAAAAAAAAAGAAAAAAATTAAAAATAAAAAAGTCTAATTCTTGCATTACGATTATCCCACCGATATGCCACTGTTTGTTTACGTTCGGTCTCCTTCGTAGAACCTGTACGATTCAACGCAAAACTTCAGACCTAAAAGATTTGCTTATACAGGGTGTTACCTATAACGCTACTCACGATTTTTCTCCCACTTGCAGCCACTTGACGAAAAAATGTTTAGGACAATATTTGCAGGGTGTGAAGTGCACAATAGATATAAGTAAAGCAAATTTTTAAAACAGTTTGTTCTCTTGGCAAAGTCAAGGTCACCTTGGGTTTTTTAAATAGGAACATACATTTTTTTTTATTCATAGCTTTAGAGGACATCGAGACGAATTCAAAACATATATTACATGATATTTTTA